TTTAGACATTTATATAATAAATTAAAAAAGCTTTTCCTAATTAAAATTCCATTTATCTCAAATCTAGCCACATGTCAAAGATCGAATTGTTTACAAAAATAACAAATGAAGAAAAAGAAAATAAAAGCAAAATTAAAAAAAAAAAAATTAAAAAATATGGAAATTAAAAAAAAAATGATGAAATATGGCTCTGAATTAAATACTAAAAGCCTAATAAATTCAGCTGGGGCAATATATTTATTTCTATTTTTGTTTGCCATTTTAATGCTTTAATTATATATTTAAAAAAAAAAAAAAAAAAAAAAAAAAAATCTATAAAAATATTTTTTTTTAAACCAAATTGGAGCAATATATTTCATTATATTTTTTGTTGAAAAAGAAATAATCTATACAAAATATTTAAGCATTAAAAACTAAATTGTATAAAAATCAAGTTAAATATATTTGCAAATTGAACTGAAGTAAACAGGAATAAACTCTGACTGACTTATTTATAAAACGTTTGTTATCAACGCTTAGCACTTTGCACATTAATATTTATAAATAATACAGTTCCAGCTCCCCCTAGTTCCATTTGCCATTTGCCACTTGGTGGCAGCTCTACCCCAAATGGGATGGATGGATGGATTGTCAGGCTATGGATATGGCTATGGCTCTGCCTGTGCCTGGGGCTATGGCTGTGGCTGAAGTGCATTTTAATGTCGCCCGCTGGCATTTCGCCAGTTTTTAATCAAACTATGGACGCACATTAATATCTGCCATTGAGGGCGCGTACTGTCGGCAAAACAAATATGCAAGGTTTTATGGTAAATTAACAAATTTGTACATTAAAATTTGAAAAACTCAAACAAACTGCATGGAAATTACTCAGCTCAGCATTGACAAAGAGAGAGAGTGAGGGAGACAGATAGAGAGTCAAGTTGCGATCGGGCATCTATACAAAAAAAAAAATAAGGCAGAAGAAATACGCAGATATAGCCGCGGCTATTGCAAAAATGTTTGCATAATTGTTCACAATTTGTTAAGCTGTCAGATTGGCCTCCAGCTGCTCGGTGGAAGCTGTTGACTGTGCCCATCTCTTGCAACACCTTTCGAGGAATAGCGCTGCGAGCTTGTCATGTTTTTCCTGTGCAATTTGTCAACTGACACATTTCCCTCGAACATATTGTGAAATGCTGAAATACTGAAAGAGATGCTGTCTCATTCTCCCCCACTTCGAGCCCCTACCTCTTCCCCTTTCCCTCTCTCTCTCTCTCTCTCTCTCTCTCTCTTTCTCTCTCTCTCTCTCTCGCTGTCTCCATCTCTTGACAAAACAAAATTCAAATGTAGCTCAAGTTTTCCCTGCCGTAAGCTCCCTGCCGTGGCGTTCGAATTTGTTATAATTAATTTACAACACGTTTCTTCCAGCAGCTCGCTTCAGTTGGGTGGGCTGCGACAGATGCGCCGCATCCAAATGCAGCGCATAAAAAGAAAATTTATTTATTGATCCTCAGTAACTGCATCCCCAATATAAATAAATTCAGAGCTCATTTCGATTTGGAGTGTGTTATAATTTCTAGGCAAGTTAGCTGATTGTACCGCTCTTTGGTTCTATCATAACTCATTATTCGCCCCTCCTCAGGCAGGACAGCCAAAGCCCCCTGTCCCTACCCTGCTCCAGATTGGGGCATCTGAGAACAAGCTTATTATGTTGCACATCAGCGAGCGCATAAATATTTCTTTTGGGCAGCGAATAGCGTAGATGTCGCCTTATGAATATGACTTTTAGATATCGGGAGATGTGGACTTTAAGATTAGGTGAATGGGGAGCTAAAGCTAAAGACAACAATCTTGTTATTCTATTTTCACATAGACAGAGAAAGAGCGAGAGGTCGAGCGAGAGTCTGAGATTTTGATGAATGTGCGCGTCAGCGAAAGAAAAATGTACGAAAATGTTTTTCATGCATGAGGTTTTTACGAGAAAATAATTGCGGAACGTTTTTTGCCGTTGCCTTTAATATTAATTGGCGTTCAGCGCAAAACTTACCAGATAATCGGACTGGCAGCTCTTGCCGCTTAAACTGGGCGCCAGATTGTCGCCGTCGCGAGTGGGCGTGGATTCCTGCAAATAACGAAGGCGCAACAGAGTTAGATACCCCTCTGAATAATATTGGATATATATTATTTGATTATACCTGCAGCAGATCCTCGAGACTCTCGATATATTCGATGGCATTGCGCAAGATCTCAACCTTGGGCAGGCGCTGATTGGGATTGGATGATGTGCGACGCTTCAAGATCTCAAAGGCCTCGTTAACCTAGAAAGCAGAAGACCGAATGGACAATTAAAGGCACGACAATTAAAATTCATAATCGAATTATAGATATCAGAAAAATCCATTAGACATGCCATAAAAACCCGCCCATTGGCCTGCACATCTTTAAGTGGCTCTTTAATAAAACATATTTTAAATTAAATCGCGCATAAAATTTAAACAATTAAACTGTTGGGCGCGGGTGGATGTATACGATGATGATGATGAAGATGACAATAATGATCATGTCCCAGCGTCATTAGACATTCCCCCCTTTATTCATAATGTTAATAGCCCTGCCACAGGGGTTTTGTCGATCTATAAATACAACACGAGAAAACTCGATTCTATAGTTTTTACGATTCGAACACAGAACTCACACTCCCGAGCTCGTTAATGTCTCCGTTTAATGTTTGGCAAATCTTGCATTTTTATGCTTGTTGGGTGGCTTCTCTCCAGCCGAGATGGTTAAGGAAATTTAGGGCCAAATGATTGGGAGTGACATTTACGTTCACGATGTGTTAATTTCTGTGGCGCAACTAAGTTGCACATGATCTTAAAGATCTTTGGGGTAGCTTTAGTCTCTAAATGATTATCTATAATCCTTAAAAAAAGAGAGTTCTTTTGGAAACCAAATCTAGTTTATGTGCAGGCTTCCCTCAGTTGCAAATGCAATAAGCATGCGAGTGGATATTGATATTTCTAGTAGATAATTACAATTGCATTTTTAAAGTGTTAAAGATCTGATTTAATATATAACTATTGTCAATCGAATCTTTTGCATTCACAAACAATGAATTTTCAATTATGGAATGAAATATACGAGCTGTATGGCAATTAGCCACGGATCAACAAACAGTTTAGTATAAGGTGTTACACCTCAACCAATCCCTAAACTCAATGTACTCTCTTGTATATTCTCAATTGTGTATAATATTTCATTTATTTCGATTTTTTTTCGTACATCACATATTGCGCTTCATAAAATATGTATAAGAAAATATTATATTTAATGTTATCCATATGTATTTTTTAATATACATATTCCTATTAATGCATGAATAAAATATTTAATTAATAGGAATTATATAATTATAACAAATATTTTATTAAAGAGAAATACATATAKGAATACTTTATTGAAAAAAATATTTTAATAAAATATTAGATTACTTAACGAAATGTATGTTTGAATAACATATTGGTATTTTGGGGTTTTAGTTTTGCTGAGAGTTTTTAAATTTATATTTATTTGATCATCTATTGTATCATTGCCTGCACTTGCCTTCATCTGTCTACTGCCAAAACTTATTATTGGCTTAGCTTTTGTCATAGAGTTGATATATGGGGACTTACATTACGTTTCATAAATGACAAATCAGAAACAACTGGAAATTTATGACATCTCTTTAATTTATGTTTTATCTATGCATTCTTCAAAGAGATTTTCAACTAGAATAAATAATAATTTCAAGAAATTTGTATATGAAAGAGATCATCCATCCCATAAAATTTGAATTGAAAACAATGTGCACAGCTGGGAATTATTCTGATTCGCAAACATGTGTTACTAATGAAACTTTTATTTCTTTCTTTCTCTTTCTATATACTCGAATTCTTTTAGTAGACACCTAGCGCCAGGCTAACAGTAGCTTGAACTACTCTTCCTTGATTATTTGCTCACCTTTCTCAGACGCCGTCGCTCTCGCATTGTCGCCGCCTTGCGTCGATCCACGGTGACATTCTTCTTCTTGCACGCCTTGCAGGCCCACGTGAGGCAGGGCCGCGAGGACTGGGCCGAGGCGCAGACAAGTGGCGCCAGCACATGCTCCTCGGAGCTCAAGCTGCTGTCCTCGTCGTCGTAGTCCGTGGTGTATATGGGCGAAGATGTCATGGAGAGCTGTTTGCTGCCCTCTGTGGATTGGTGATTCCTATTGCCGAAGCTGCAGGCGGCGCTGCTGGCATCGCCGACGGCATTGAAGCGGCTAAAGAAATGCTGCAGTGTCTGGTGTGGATTCTGATGCATATTTCCGTGTGACAGGTGGTTAATGTTGTCGTCATTGTTACTGTTGTTGTTGTTGTTGTAGCGAAAGCCAGTTGAATTTGTTTGCTGTAGATAGCCGTTGTATTCCTGTTTGATGGCGTTGTCATTGGTCGCAATTGCGCCAATCAACATGCCGTTCGCATTATTGTATTTGGTCATAATTATAAGCACTTTGATGATCCTTCACTGCACTTCACTTCACTCCACGGTTAACTTTCGAGTATGCAAACGGAGACGAAGACGGACACGGAAAGGCAAAGGCAAAGGCGAACGCGAACGTGAACGAGACGAACCGACGCCCGCAACAAACGCAACACATTTGGCTGACAATATTCGAAATCTTTCCCAGATTCACATGTGCGCCGCTCTGCTCTGCTCTGCTCTACTCAGATCTTGCTGCGTTTTGAGTGGCTGCTCGCCGCTGCTCTCGAGTGGATCTATTTATAACGCGGCCCGCCATTAGACACTGGCATTAGGCACAGAAGGACGCGCCGCGCACAGGCCACGCCCCATCTCGACTGCTGCTGCTGCGGCTGCCTCTGTTGCTGATGAAGAGCCATTTGGATTTTCTGCTCAATGAAAATCGTATTTGTGAAAGGCTTAGAAGATTTGGTATATTTATTGTACGATTGAGTGCCCGAATAAGCAGTCAAATAAATTTGAATCTACCTGCCCAACGATTAACGCATCGCTTATAAATTAGAGGCGAAGAACAATTCGTTAATGTGACACATTTAATGGAGACAGCACTCCAGATCCCCCCTCCCAGCCCAGCCACCCACTTACACACACACAGCTTGCCATTTAGATTTTTCCCGGCATTTTCATTGTCGTTCTTTTTCCACGTTTCCACGTTGGCCACGCATCAAATTGACCAGAAAACAAAAAGAAGAAAAAAACTAAAAATTGCCTTTGCCTCCCAGCAAATACTACACACATACATATATAATTTGTTTATTTATTGCCGCTCAAACAAAATATATATCTTTGGAAATCACCTCTAAATCTTCTTGAATGATATTGTAAATCTTTTGTCTTAAGGCTCGTGATTTTTGTGCCTTCCGTTTTCCATTTTCATTTCGATTTTGTCACATCTTTGAATGTTGTTTTCTTCTTGCCTTCGTTTTTGTCTCGTTTTATTTGTTTTTCGTGTTGATAAATGTTTTGTTTTGATTTGCTCCGATTTTATTTTGAACACACTTAGGTGTGTCGGATTTACATCAAACTTGTTTATGATCAGCCCAAGATAATCCCAATACAAAATTAATCTATATACAGGAAAAGTTCTATTAGTCTGCGTTGCTTTTTATTTTTGGATTTACTCTACGCTTACTTTTACTATTTAATTACCAAATATTTATTAGATCCACGTAACACATCCTATAATGATTTATCATTAAGGCATCTATTTAGGTATTTTTTTTAGATTTGTTGCAATCAAAAAAATATATATAAAACTGATGTAAAAAAAAAATAATTTCTTACATTAATTTTTCATTTTATTACAATTTGTTGGCAAGCTTTTTTTTCACTATTTATCATTCTCTGTTCCTTTTTACCATTTCCCCTTCCCAGCAACCAATTTCCTATACATTTCGCTTAATGTTACACTATCGTTACAACTATCTCGAAATTTTGTTTCTCTCTCTCTATCTATCTATCTCTTGCTGTCTCTTTCAATCTATCCATTCATTTATGAAGATTAAATCGAAGAGGTCTATTTGAAAAAAGTTTGCAGTTGTACTTCAGCTCCCTCGCTATAGAGTGCTGCCCATCGCAAATACGACTAGCGCCATCTATGTTTGAGCAGTATTTTTGATTAGTGTATTCAATAAACCGTTTCAATAAACTGTTGCATAGTCTAAGGATGTATAGATGTACTTTTTATCACATTTCGCCATAATAATCAAAATTTCTTAAAATTATAGAAAACATATATAATCTTGTTCAATGCATATGCTGTTTATTTATAAAATCAACATTAAAAATTTATTTAGTATTGAAAGTCTGCATTGTTCTCTTCTGAAAAGTAATTAAGTTCAAATTCAATTAACAAATAATTAACTAATTGCACTTGCGCTGAATTTCATGTTTATGATACATTTGCCGGTTATCTTATATGAGAGCATCTTCGACTGATGAAACTTTCAGCAAAAATTGAAACATTTTGTTACCTGAAGCTAGGCATAGGGTCAAGTAACAAAATTCAATATCTTAATAATTAACGAAAATGGCGCTGAATGCCATTTGTGAGAGCAAAAAACTGTGTACTACCGCTAATTGTTGTTGCAGCTGCAGTTTAAGCTATTTTTGTTATTGTTGCCATAGCGCTTTCGGCTTTCCATTCATAAAAATGTTCAACATGCGGCAAGAGTGATAACAAATTACGTCAGCCAAACAAATGTGTAGGTGTGGAGATATGTAGAAGAACATGAAAGTGAGAGTAGCTGAAGCGCATGCTCCAGAATAAACAAAAATATACAAAGAGAGAAGGAGAGAGAGAGGTTGCTCTCCCTCTTCGCTAGAATCCAGAAACAAAAGCAAAGCTGATTTTTTTTATCTCAACTCGGCCATTGCCTCCGTCAACAACAGCTGTGAATGTGGCAAGCACAAAGTACAACTATGTATATATGTATATACATATGTATGTTACATATGTACATAGAGACTTCAGCAATTTATATGCGCAATTAAACATGCATTTCTACACACACTTCTACATCTACACGCATGGTTAATATTTGCAAAATGAAGGAAAGCACTAACAGTTTACATGAATTGTTTTGTTAACTCAGCTAAATAAAGATACACACATGCATACATACATATTTATGGTGAGACGAGCAAAAATGCTGAGATGTTGCTAGGCGAGGGTCGAACGGAGCGAGGAGATTTGCTGCGGGGCGATATTTGAGCGCGCAAAAGCAGCGCAAGTCACGCAGTTACATTGAAGCCGTCGCACGAGACGGTCGGTTGGGCGCGCAGCTCTGCGAGAGTATTTCCCCATTGTGAATTGAAATTGGCATTCACACACACATACACTCTCGAAAGTACGCGCGTCTGCACAAACACACGCATACGTATACGTATATTGTGAACGCGTTGCTGTGACATGTAAACAAAAGTTGAGGAACATAGAAGATGCTGATAAATAGGACAGCTAAAGCAGAGAGTGCAGTGCAAAAGTTGAACGGAAGTTGATAAGCACGAAACGGATAAGCGTGACCACAACTAACACAAATACCGTTAACTGTGAAAGCTAAAACGAGTGCGCAGGTAAATACATACATACATAGCTGCTGGCGCAGCATCAGCTCTTTTATCGACAGCAAATCAAATGTACTTGTGTATGTGCGTGCATTCGTATGCATGCATGTGTGTCAGCATGTCAAAAGTTTGACGAACAACTCTCAGCTCTCAAAACTTGTATATGTGCACACTATCATAAGATAACAATACATGAACATAGCCAAATGTTTCAGTGTCAACAGATGTTTGTATGTACGAACATACACACATACATTCATATGTATATAGCTGCGCTTTCTTGTTTCTGTTTAGGCGTGTGTGTGTGTACATGTGTTGGCATTGTTGTTGCCTTACAACTGACAGTACTCTCGTAATTTGCACGCACTGTTATCAGTATGTGTGTGTGTGTGTGTGTGCTTGAGTATGCATGTGTGCGCGCGCTTTTTGTTTCGTCTTCTGTTTACACTCTCACACCTGTTATCGGCATTTGTCTGCCTCCTCTCAGAGACAGAAGCTCTCTCTCTCCCTCACTCTCTATCTCTTAGCTTCTTTATCTTTATTTCTCTGACACTGCTTGTCAACACTTCATTTTGTTGTCAATGCATCAAAACAATTTAAAATCAATTATAAATATATAAATATATTTACATGTATGTACATGCATACAAATGTAAGATTGCATACAAGTAGTTCAATTTATGAGCAAAGTAATCATGCACGCTTTGAGTGCACTTTCGATCAAAACAGGGCAAGGTTTGTGGATAGAATACACACATACATACAAATGTGTATATACATACTTTAAGGTGTATGTATACTATGCGTAAGCTTTAAATGTTAACCCTATTCAAGGGTATCACATTTCAAGGTCATTATCTGAATGAAGCTGCTTACAGAATTGCAAAACTGAATTACAAAAAATCAGTTATCAGTTAGCCAATCCACGTGTATGTATGTATGTATGTGCATCCGTCTACTTTCATCATATATGGCATACCAAGTATTCAATTGGCAAGTGTAAACAATTTTGCTATTGTTTTTAACGAATTTACATAAATTTAATATATAGTACACACGGCTTATAGGGTTTTCAAGGTGCGACTACTTAAGTACTTACAGCAAAAATAAAGCTATAAATAACAGAAATTATTGATACAGCAAATCCATTTCAATACTTGATAAACATTTGTATGTATGTGTATACCATTATATATATGCAGTTGTGTTCATGAAAACAGTAGTAAACTGAATGAGTGCTACTATAGACATATTTGTTTCCCAAATAGCCTAATCAGCAAAATTTTAGTAAATACATTAATCTATATACATACTTATGTACAAATATGATGTTACTTACGAGACATTTCTAAACTAGTATTTTTAATATCGTCATAAGATATGTAAATTCATAAGAAAGAAACCCGTCTTTCGATACTTGACAAATTAATTTTTGATTTCTTTTTTTTTTTTAATTTTTCGAACTTCTAGCAAAATTAGCTAATTAAACAGGTTTGATTCTATTATGTTTGAAACAAATTTTAGGCATAAATTAATGTCTTTGACCCATTATCCCATTATTAAGTAGAAGACCCGTTCAATTAATTCTCAAATCCACATTCCCAAAAGTAAAAGTTTTTTTTTTTTTCAAAATTAAGAATTCAAAATACTTGTTATGAGATATCGATTTCAATTTTATTGATTACGCCCATTTATTAATGAGCTACAGCCGTTACTCATATTGAGAGAAAAAAAAAAGCAAACACAAGGCCATCAAAGTGGGCTAACAAAGTTAGCTAAAGCATCGTCTCAGACACCGTCTATTTGTTGTTTACTTTTGGTGCTAATGAGAGTCGAAATGTCTACACTTAATATACTCGAACCTAATCAAATTATGAAATATTTCTTCTTTTTTCTTTAAATGCTTCATGCTCTTATCTGGAAATTCACAAATGCAAAGCGACTAATGAGCACTTCTGTCGGGAGTGTCTGACTAGGAGATACCTTGAGATCAGCGCAGAGCAGAGCAAGAGCAAGTTTCATTTCGAAAATAAAAATAAATAT